ATCCTTAAACCAGGACATGTTTCCAGTATTTTCTATTATGTACTCAGCGACTGGAGTCTAGCACTGACGTCTCTCAGGGAAACACCATAGCTATTAGGCTATTAAATTGTTCTCACACTTATTTGCCACAGTCTGGTAAGCACTTCATTATTTTAAATACAGTGGAAGTGCTACAGGAGGATTTGAGAGCTATGTTCCACACTTGGGTCAGGATAGTTTTTAACAAGCGAGGGCTGCTGCTCTCCTCACAAACTGCCTTTTCTCATGGACTACAGCTTAAAGCAAACTTCTCAGCACAGAACAGCTAGCTGAAGTAAAGCCACACAATCCTCTGCTCAGATGGCAAATGACTGCAGATGACTTTTGTGGGACAAGACTGGGACATAGGTAAATGTTCCTATATTTGCTGCCCCTACTAGCAATACAAATACCCAAAAGGTATCGTCAGGCTCTACTGTGCAGTTGCGTTCATTATAAGAATCACACTTTCTACCAAAATTTTGGCTGGCAAAATAAATAAACTCTTTAATTCTGACTTGATACATTCCCTGAAGGATTCATGGTTGTTAGTTTTGTGTTCCAGTTGCTTCTTTGTTCAGCACAAATACAATGAATAGGCACCAGGCTGCCAAAAAGCCTTCATCGCCTTCAGTAACTGAGTACTATCTCTTAGGCACCTCAATACCAGTCACCTTCGGATTAACAACAAAGTAGCTTGAACTTTAATTCCCCTGCTCTTGTGAGTAAAGCCCCTGAGTCCATGATTAAATCAACCTGTTTTTCAAACACTCAGGAGCTGTGAAGCACGTTTTGTAAACCAGCTAAGCAAATTTGTGAGGGTTTAATTTTCAGTTAAAGCCTCTGCAGTGTGGTGTTTCTTTTTCATTGGTGACAGTGAATTGCTAGCTACCCCATCTTTACTTGCCAGTCTCCATATTTTCTTTGGTTTAGAAACAATTGTAGCTTTAACAAATTCAGAAATCTGACGAACATCCCATGTGTGTCTCCTAGACTAGAGCTAATTAAACATTTCCTTCTTCACTAATGAAATACATTTATTAAAACAGCTAATTTTGATGTTTCAAACCTATTGAGAGGTTTTCTTTCTTTGGGTAGATTCATGATCAGGCATATTCTTGCAAAATACTACTAGTTCACCAGGTGTGTCTTTGTACTTCATAAGGGTATGTACAAGCTGTAATTTCTGACAAGCCAGAAAGACAAAACTGGAACTTGAAATGTACGGACTTATTTGTCTGTGGCTGTACACATATTCCACAGCAAGTGTGTTCCTGCTTAAGATGACCCAAAAGCCCATTTGTCATGAAAACCACATCTTTCCATCTCTAAATGTCATTCTTTCAACCACAGTATTAGGTGATGACACCTACTCTTAGACAGGCTTGCAAAATGAGGTGTTCAGAAACTACTACACTCACAATAAAAAATTCAAAGATTTTTCCAGATGTTAAACTATACTCTTGGGGTTTAGTCTTTGCATTAATACCTCAAAGCAATAATTCAGGTGTCAGTAGAGCCAAACATGATCACTGGATATGACACAGACACCTTCCTAAACTGCTTGTGCTTGGAGGACTTTGTGTTTTCCCTTGACACACAACCCTCACATTTCTGAACTTTCTGTTTGTCTCCAGAGAACAACTTCATGTTCTTGGAGATCCTGCAGCATGTTTAATCGTGAAATATGTATTTATATTATGTTCTTGTGAAGACCTAACTTTGCCCCTTTTTGCTTATTTTCAGTAAGCTAAAATGAGTAAATGCTACTCCTTGTCTGCAGCACACCATATGCAGCACAGCCAGAAAACAGAGAGCAACAATAGGAATTTCTTGTCTATACCAGCACAGCTGTAAGTAAGTGAATTTTACAGATAATTTTGAACTACACCACTGTCTTTGGGTCTTCATCTTTCACCTAGTTCTTTTGCTTCACGGAGACAATGCTCTGTATTTATTTATTTAAATACACTGTAGATTTCTACTGTAGCTAAATCTTTCTAGGGGGACAAACAAAAAGCAACAAGAGACTTCAGCCAATTAATTGGCTTTATCAGCCTGGACATCATTCAGCACCTTGTAGTTTCTTATTTTTGTTTACAGGGAACACACAAAATATATTTCTGTGTACCTGCTTCTCCATGGTCCCAAACTAATTGGGCCACTGTCTCACAAATTGCCTAATTGGCTGAACATTCCTAGCCTTCTGATTTTAATCAGGGACACATGGTGCATATCAATAGCCTGCTTCATTACGCCTGAAGAAGATCCAGGCTACTGTCCATTTTCAATTAAGTTGTATTTAAAAAGAACACCAACTTGACCTTTTGGAATACTGTGTAATAGGATTAAAAACTTAAGCAGCTTTTTTCCTTTTTTTTTTTTTCCCTGGAACAACTAACTAACAAATAGAAATAAGCACCCCTTATTGCAGTACCACCAAGGAGTAGCTTTGACACGGTGTTGGATCCATTAGCTACATCTTTTGATAATAACACCTTAAAAAAAAATCAATTGCAAAAAAGTACAGAGTTGAGCACCTCTACAGCCTTGGAGCTTCCTGCTAGAATTTTTTTTGTAGAAGGACCTAGAAGCCACAAATAAAGAGTGGGACTGACCAAACTGCGTAACATGAGGGCTCCAATCACAAAAGGCTCATCCTTTAAAGTGACAGCTGTAGGCAAGAGAAAAATATCAGCAGTTATGGAGAGGCTAAGAGAAAAAGAAAATCATGCCCCTCTAGTACTTGCCAGACATGTTGTTGAAATTCAGTCTTGTCTCTTAAGTCGATGCACTGTGTTGAACAGCTGATTCACTAAAGCACACTCTTCTCTGTACCAATAAAAATCTGTAATTCATATGCCCCAATGTTCACAAACAATACTTTTCTCCAGATTGAATGTCATTGTGGCTTGTGTATGTGAAAAGTGACAAAGTGCTATCGTGTTTTTAGAGCTCAGGAACAGTCCCACACACAATGTGCTTTTTCATCACCAAAGGAGATGAAAGCATAAAACAAAACCAAACATGACAATAAAACTCTGAAAACAGGATAAAAATATTCACTAAGAACAATAGCCTTAACAAAGAATACAACACACCATCTCTCTGGACTGAGGTCAGAGGTGATTTTAGTTTGTGTAATTTTATTATTGGAGACTTTAAAGGTCACTGACCTACAGCAATACAACTATTCTTTCACCTACAAGAGTAAACAATCACCTAACACTCTCCAGCTAGTAGTTCATCTAGCAGAGGCAAGAAAACTACCCTTAATTCAGGTTTAAATGTTTTTGTGTTTATTGACAGATTCTTCAAGAAAAGTCAAGCCTTTCTTTCTTGAAGTATATTTCCTTCAGTCCCCCACATGTAGCCAAAGGGACACTAAAGAAAAAGGGAACATAATGAAACCTCTCAGAAAATTAGTGTACAATGTGGACCCTAAAGGATATTTATAGAGGGACCTTCAGGGCCCAGGGTAATCAGAAGACTAACTAAATATTCCAGCTTCGGTGTTTGCAAGTACCATTTTCTCTTTCCATTGCTGACAGAGGGATACTTGGACTCTTTTGGCTAAAGTTAGCCTTTGTGAATGCTAATTCTTCTGTCCCAAATACCTGTGTGTGTTTTTTCCAAGCTTAAACCAAAAATATCTGTGAATAGTTCCAGCAGACTGCTAAAGACATCAGGTACAAGAGAAGCAAGAAAGTTTTTCTTTGCTGCTGTTCAAAGATACTCTTTCATGAGCAACTATGGAGACATACCCAGCCAGTTGATGTTAATTACATACAGGCTAGACAGAAGATGCAATTTTTAAGTGAAGGCAATTAGACTTACCAGATATGATAGTGAGTTTGTCACTGGAAGTCTTGAAACAAAATGTAGTGTCTTTCTAAAAGCTATGTTTCCCGTCTCAAGAAGAATTTATGCTGGGATTATGGAGTTGGGTTCTCTGATCTGGCTTGTACAAGAGGTCAGATGAGCCAACCCCGATAGTCTGTTCTAGCCTCTAAGCCAGTGAATAAAGAAACTGCAAATATTTCCATGATTAACCAGAAAAAGAGGCTGATTATATTAAAGAAAAAGAATAAATGCTCCAACCCTGGCAGAGTTCAAGTCTAGGTTGGACAGGTTTTTGGCAACCTGTTCTAGTGGGAGATATCTCTGACCACGGCAGGGAGGTTGGAACTGAATGACCTTTAAAGGTCATTTCCAACCCAAACATATTATCTGATTCAATAATTCTAAAACGAATGAAAAAAGTTGGCCTTGCCTACTAACATTCAGAAGTGGGACAGAAATAAGCATCTGAAGTAATAATCACTGTGAATTACTTAAAATGCAGAGGAAAATTATAAACATCAGCAGAAAATTTCTAGCAATGCTTGGCCACCTTCTTCACCCCCATGCAGGGCACTATTTCCTGTATTTTATTGGTTTGGCTGATTTGTCCAAAAGGTCACAAAGTAAGTTTATCTTGACTTCTTCATAAGGCTATTGTACAGATTTATATAGCATGAGGCTATTAACAGATTTCATTATAAGGGCCATTTGTCTTACATCTGTTGACGTTTGAGTACTCATGACTTCTGCTGAGTGACTTATTGTGACAGAAAATACGTGTAGGAATACACCACGTGTGGCAGAGTGTAGGAAAGTATCTCAGGAAGTACCACCATTTTCACATATTTAAGTGTTAGAAAACTGACACTCAAAGACTCAAAGAAGTATTAATCTAATTCTTCTTCAATATTTTAAGGATAAGACATCAAAGCCAAGTATGCGATTCAAAATGTAGTGCTTTGGTTAGAAAAAGTGACTATGGTGTAAAGTGAGAAAGAAATTTACCTAAGTACATACAAAAGTGCACCAGGCTTGGGTGACTGGCTCCACATGTTTTATCTACACATACAAATTAAATGATGTGTAAAGTTAAATAGAGTCTAAGCATCTAATTGCAAAATTTACATTTCCCTCTCCCCCCCCAGAAAAAAATCCTTTACTCAGCTGAGAAAACTTCATCACATCATAGTTTGTATCATCACTGCCTGCCCTTTGTCAGAGGCATTGGCTGCAGATTACAACACAGAATTCCTCTTCTTCTCTGAGTACTTGAAGATACAAGCTCCCAGAATTACTCCAGTAGTTTGGAAGGTGATAATTGCAAGTTTGGTCTACAAGCACTGCAAAGGACTTGCTACTTTCCTTGGCTTCCTTACCTCCTTGCCAGTGCAAGAACCTTGAAACGGTCAGATTTGTCTCAGTTCCCCTTAGACAAGTTTAAAAATAAAAGCAATAAAACTTATTCTTGCAAAACAAAAGACTATGTTCCAGATTATGAAGCTGAAAACACACTTTAAAAAGTAAAGCATAAAATAAATGAACTGACATTTAAGACATACCTGACATGAATGCTCTTGCTTTCTCTAAATACATTCAGTAGAAGTATAGCAACTTCTAAAGAAAAGGTAAAGACAAGGGTCTCAGCATTTGCAGGCCCATATCAAGCAATTGCAGACCCATCAGAAATAGTGTCTGATCTACAGACTGAAAACACCACTCAGAATTGTCTTTCAGAAGGGGACCTCTTTGAGCCTTTACTTGGAAATAGAAGCTAAAAGGGCAGCAGCTCAGTAGTATTCATTCTCTGAAACATTTTCATTTCCAGTTTACCTCAAAGGTTAGTTGGAAGTTAGCAATCTACCCTTCACAAATATGCCTTTCTAACTTTAAACATTATTTCAATTTTTCTTGGAGACCATTCCCGGCATACTAATAACACAGATGAGAAAGCTGGCCCTTAGAAAGCTTCGTTTTCTATTTTGGGGGGGAATTCACCTGTCTCCAAATTCAGGAGATACCCAGACTCCACAAATTACTTACATATTAATGCATATATACTTGAAGTGTGCTAAGTGATGTGTAAAGTACTCAAACATACTCACATTTGCAAAGGTGCCCGTCACCACTCTCACACCTAAACTCATAGTCTGTGTAAACCAAGTATTCCTCTCCCTTTAAAGGTTAAATCCACTAGTCTCAAAGTACTCCTAGCAGGTTAATCTTTACAGAGAACACAGTGAAGCTTCCATCTTTTTTTCATAAGACCCAACAGTGGTATCTCTTATTCACCTAAGAGCCACAGAAAGCACACTCAACAGTCTCATCTGCTTTGGGGATTCAAAACCCAAATACTTCTCTGGAGAATCTTCTAAGCACCCTGCAGGGCCCTACAGGAAAGATTTATCTGACCAGCTAAGAATGTGAGCATGAATCAATAAACTATTGTGTTAAGAGTCCTGCTCCTATGTCTGGGTCCTTGTAAAGAAGAACATGCCCTTGGCCACAGAGGAAATATACAGAAACTTTCTTAAGGAAGAAAAGAAAAATAAGACCCACCCTTCCCAATATTAGTGAGTCACACACTCTCAGACTCTCACCATTTTCAGTTTAAGCTCTCCTTACTTCAGTTTGAAATGGCAGGACAATCTCATCACAGCTCTCAGTTTCTGTGCTGCAATTTGCTTTTCTGAAAAGCAGAATGATATTCACAGCAGTGTTGGAGGACTCACTGGTCAACACCTGCAAACATAGCTAGAGGCGTAAATCCACTTTCTAATCAATAGGACTTTGATGACTGTTAAACATGATCAACCCTGTTCCCCCCTCCGGTGTGTTTGCAAACCAGATTTTCAGCAAATAAAGCATGTCAAATTTATTATAGAACAGTATTGCCCTCCTGTGGCCAAAGACTATTCTGAAGAAACAACTCTTAGGAGGGTTTTTTATTTGTTTCTCGTGCACAACCTCAGATATTCTAGGCAATCTTTTGGAAAGGAACCCCTCCAAAACCTATATCCAAATCTGGGTTTATGGCATAGTAGATGAACAGAAAGAGTAAGCAGTAGATGTGATGCCAGTCCCTGTGGTTCCTTAAATTTCTCCTGATGATGTTACAGCAAAAATAATGATTATCTACACTCATCTTCAGTGGTCATATTTAACAGTGACAGAATTTCTTTCTGTACATTTTCGATTAATCAGTCCTCTTCTACTTTAGATTTACATTTTTTTTATTAATCCAAAAGTAGAACCATATCCTGTCTGCTCGCAGACCAAAAGACAACTTTCTATCCCTTCAGTGGGAGCAGGCCTGATCCTTTCAGACCTTAAACAAAATCCGTGTAAGCAAACAGATTCTCTTTGAATTGAATGTCTTTTGGATCAAGTCATTTAGTCAGACATAATGCAAGTCTGCAGAGACACACAAAATCATAAAGAGTCTGCGGCGTAGGTCAGTGACTGACATGAAGCCCTCCATGGCAAAATCTTAAGTCCCCACCACACAGAATTGATGTTCAAAGCAGAAGAGAATGTCCCACCCCTGAATATATAAAGTACTCTCTGACATCCCCATAACTTAATCAAACAGTATGGCTTAACCAATACAATTACAACTTTTTCATGGATAAAAAACTTGGAGATAATAAAAAAGGTCTTAAATATTGGATCAGAGACACACCTGAGAGAAAACTGTTGCAATAAAGAATTTATATATATAAATGACAGGATGAATGTAGTTAAAGCAGTCTAAATTCTTCACCATTATGTCAAAAAGTGCAGTTGAAAATCTGGTTACAGTTTCTGTGAAGATTAATTGCACTTGACATATTCCACGGAATGTGCTTGGCCCAATCTCTTCTACCTGCCAAAAGTCAGTTAATATGACTCAGCTTTTCTGTCCAGCTGTCAAGGCTGGAGAAATGGGGGTTAGCATCTCTATCATTCTTTTATGATTGCCAGCTATGCAGTGCAAGAATGACTTACCTCTTCCTTCCCACAGACAGTCTTTTTCTGATAGACACTTCCAGAGCTGCCACAAATTTAAACAGAGTATTAAAGGTTATTATGGTGACGAATTTTAAACTTTTAACCAGGACTATGCATGTCCAACCCTCATGGCTCTTCTGAGGCATGGAACAGAAATAATCCCATGTGACCAATACCCCTGATATAGTAGAAGAGAACATTAAGGAATCCATCTACTCAAAAGCATTTTAAGTTGTTTCTGGAAAACATACAGCCCAAAACAGAGGATGAATAGGAATCCTGGGCCACAGCTAACTTCCTCAGCCATGGCCATATTTTTTCAACGGACTGGGATGCATTAAATGCACACTCCATAATATGTTTATTTTCTGATTAAAATAAAATCAACTTTACTTTCAGATAAGTATTGACAGCAAATTTTCCTTGCTGCACAATATTTCCTTCTGATCAATGAACTTTAATGATCATCTCAAGAGAAACAGCACTTGCATAGCACTAGGTTCCAGAAGAGTCTATAGAACGTGATGCAAAGTGAGGGCTACATACCCTGGGTACATATAGAGGGCAGCCAGGATAAGGCGTAATTCTCATTCTCCTGAAAATATTTGAAAAGGATTTTTCCTAAGCTTCCCTTCCAAGAACATTTTGTGCAGACCAAGCGTACAGAACTGCAGCCTTGATGGAAGAAGAATATTTGAAAGATTTTATCAACAAGATGACAAAAAATACTGCTCACTTGTTCATTAATTGTGTGTAATAAATTATTATAGATACCTGCCAGTTAGGACAACACTAAAGAAATTAGGCTTGCTATAATTTGATTTAATTGAACAGATCACCAGTGTTTTTTAAATGGAAGTATAAAAACAACAGCCTTTTTCCAGCTCAAGCTCCATTGCTGTCTTCAGCAAGAATGTTCACTGGCTACATCTTTCCACAACATGTCCTTTAGCACAAGTGAAGATAGGTAGGTAGGTAGATAGATAGATAGATACATACATACATACATACATACATAATTTGGATTTCTTCTGGGAACCCTGAAGACATCCTCCATTTCCTCTTGTGTACCTTATTCCTAATCCTGTGTCAGCAAACAGGCACATATGGATCTTGATACTCACTCCCAAGTGCAGCAGATTTTTGATTGTTCGCTTTATTTTTACATCTTTTGTGATCAAGGTTGTTTGGGGTTTTTTGGATGCTATATAGGAAAAACAAATAGAAATGATTAAGTGGCTTGCATTTAGAATTCCATTTATTTATATTTTTGGCTGGTAGGTTTGTCATCCCTAATGCTCAATATTAGTTATATTAAATTTAACATTATACAGAACCAATATTTTCATTTAACCACTATTCCCCAGAAAACAATTTTCTTGAAAATTACACTGATTTCTTTTCTTGTTGGTAGTCAACCTTGCAGAAGCAACAGAATCTAACTGAAACAACCAGGTACGACAGCAGGATGCCACATTCTAGTGCAGATGTGTTCTCACTTTTTGACCCAGACTACAGCAAAGAAAGTAACTTCATCGTCTCACCCATAGCTCACACTCACCATTTATCTTATAAGCTCAGTACTTCTTCCTCTGTTGTGTAACTGTCCTTCACAGCACGTCTCTACTTGGATAGTGTGTATATCTGGCAAGAAGCAAGTCTTCTGACTAACAAGTTATTTTTCAGGCTGTCATATATCTGAAAGCTAAGAAAATGATGAGAATTGCTTTCGTTCTTGAGACTGGTGTGGCCTTATCTCCTACAACAATTACTGCCCTTTTGAGTTCATTCCCCCTGAGCAGATATTCAGCCACTGCTCCTCACTTTTTTATATTTGAATGCCTCATAGCCAATAAGGATAACAAAATACCCTGAAATCACTGTTTGGCTGGTGTATTCCTAACTCAACTGAAGACTCTCCTGTCTTGAGGAATTTCTCTGTAGATTTTTTCTAGCTCTGAAATCCTCTATTTGAACCCGGCACAGAAGAGTAGCTCTTCCAGCTGGACTAGAAGATCCCATCTGTTTATTTGGCTCAGTTTCCCACAACTCCTATGACCGTTTTTCTGCCTAAACAGCTGAAATTTCAGGAACAGCACTGAGAATGAGAACTACTCCTTTTATATTCTCAAGTGTTCATGCCTGAGCTTGTAATACTCTAAAACACCAAGCCATCTCAGAGGGATGCTCACCAAACATTCAATCTCCCATATAACAGTAACTTGAAAAACATTGCTGCTTCTTTTCAAGAATTCTGACAACAAATAAACCAGAAAATAAAATGTTTTCTCTATGTATCAACAGATATACTGTGCCACACTGGAATAACGCAGAACTGTGACACACTTTTTGACCCAACTCTTCTTGCACATCTAGGAAAAGAGTGGCAGAAGTTCCAATAAATTTTGAAAGGTATAGCTATTGCTTGGTAGTTTGAAAGTTATATACACAATGAAGGAGGAATGGAAGGAAAAGGGGTGTAAGCATGTATTATGCAGGGACACTTAGAAAGCTGTGATGTGAACACTAAAAACGAAGGAAGATCATGAAAGTATGTAAACGAATGACACAGACAAAGCTGGATGGGAAGAGGATTAAGAAGTACAAGAGGCAGAGAAGCAAGAGGCAGAAATGATTCAAGGTGGCTGCACAGCCAAATATGAACACACTTACACTCTTGCTCAATACAGAAGACCTCCTGTTGTCACATCTCACAGTGAAAATCAGCAGCCTAGAAGCAATCAGGATTGCTGTACTATATTTTTGTGGGAGAAATAGGGATCAAGTTACATTGCAACAATACTTTTAAGGAGTTCTTAACTGAATCCCTGACAAAAAAGGGACATACTCTGACAGAAAACTGATGTAAAGGAAAGTATCTGTCAGGTTTGTTTCTATACTGCATTGATGAATGCCAGAAAAGATCATTCAGGAGGAACACAGATACAATTAATTATTTGTAATAGTTTTATGAAAGAAAAAAAATCAGTACTGATATATTGTATTCAAGGACATGGCACTTGGCATTTTTTCAGAATCCTTCTTGCTATTTCATATTCTGTTTCATTAAACTGCTCCTGCATTTTTTATTGAACTATACCCAATCATGAGTTGCATGGATGGGCTTCATCTCAGAGAGGAGCTGCATCTCACTGGCAGGTAAGATACCTGTTAGCAACTTGATTGCTTATTTTACTTTAATTGTATATTTTATACTAATAATTTAAAGCCCAAATTCTACTAAGATACATATATACCTAATATTAAATATGCAAGTACTCTTACAACAATAAAGTTCATGATGGTACCAGGATTATAAAACAAAGACACAGTTTCTGGATTCTGAGTGCTTGAGGAATCACCTTGCATTTCAAATCTTGAGTTTACTCAGTTTGTAAACTCTCTCTCATTGAAACTATTCAAGATTCCACCTAGAAAATCTTTATTATCCCCACTGCATTTATGAAGAAAAAGTGAGCCTGTAAAAACCTTGGATAAAAAAGAAAGATGGAATTACCAGTGCAGCCAGAAGTCATCTAGAGCTATAGTCAGGAGCACTGACTAGACAGCTAAGAATGCCAGTGAGTATTTTGTTTCTTCCCCAAACAAGTCAAGGTCCCCTTTAATCAGCCACAAAGATAATTTCTAGAAGGGCAGAATTCATGAGCTGGTTTTCATGCTCTTCTCTTTAGCATCAGCCCTAAACAGTTTAGCTAAGTAAGTAATTTCAGTAAGACAATGGCAACAGAAAGCTGTTCATTATGTTATAGAGATGTTTTAAAATAATATTGTACCAACACTTGTTTTTCTTCTTTCAGTAAAATTAAGTGCACAGAAAAATGTTTCCACTTTATGAAAATACATATTTAAAAATAAATTTCAGTCTGGTTAGTTCTCTTTGACATTCCAGTAATTCCTATTAAAGAGAAGTTAACGTAGTAACAAACATTTTGCCAGTTCATCTTTTCAGCACATTATGCAATTCATGTTCTTCACTTTGGCATTGTTCAACTTTCTGCTTGAATGCACAGAATTATATCCAAGGAATATAAAGAAGCTATTCAGGAAAAAAAAACAGTTACACAGCTTAATGTAATTTAAATGGCCAAAATTATTACAAAAAAAATCCCAAACCAAAACAAAACAAAAACCCACAAAACCAACACAGAGTATTTTTCCTATGATTGAAAACAGAACCTAAAACTTCTGATGCTGGAAAAGGACACATTATCTAGGCTTCCTTGGACAGGGAACTTAAAGTCACTCATGCAGAGAATCCTGGAGACAGATGCTGTGAGAAAGACTGCTTCTCTGAGCTGAAAATGGAGTTTGCACAGAGCAGGAAGGTTAACAATGATGTCTCAGGTACAGCTGTAAGTCACTGGGCAGCTTGAGGAATGCATACATGCATAAAGTGCTTTTAAGACAACTGTGACGTTCCATCACAGTGAGCTCTCACAGACTCCTTAAGGGAATATCAGAGGAATCCAGGTCCTGTTGCCCTACTGAAGTAGTCAAAACTGATGTTTAAAAGCTGATTCTGACCTTGGTCTGAGATTTACAAAACAGCACACGGTGATGGAATAGGCTTAATTCCTTGAGAAACAGAATTGTGTCTTGGATGAGAGATCTCATAGACATCTCTGACTGATACAAATCTCTGACTGTGCTGTCCTGGAAAACCTAAAGCACACCTGAAAAAAATACTCTTTAAATTAAAGTGAATTAGAGATTAGAGTAAAAGGAACTATATATCTCTGTGAAAATGAATATATAAAATGCAGAGTGATGCTGTCTCTTCTGCTATCAAAAGAAGGTAAACAAAGAAATAGGATCCCTCTATGTTTGCAAAACCATACTGAGAGGCAGACACTAGACACAGAGAATGCTTTGTGTCACGAACCAAGCAAGACCATCAGGCACCTCCAAAGCCATCTGGATTTGGAAGGTTTCTGTGCTATCAATTCCTGACATTAACCCAAAAGTGTTTTACCAGCATGGTCCTGTATAGGGCCAAAAAGATTTTAAACTATTAAGACCTAATCCAAAATATAAATGAAATCATGCAGGTGCAAGTAGAGCTAGTAGGATTATACACAAAGGTAAGGTACCTTTGTGGCTCTTCACAAGATCATGCTGTAGCTAACTGCTGTAATACGTACCACAAGAAGTTTTGGTTTTCCGCCACCATTAAAACAGGATAGAGACTCTTTCATGCCAGTTTTGCCTTCCTGCCTGTCGTGGTTTAAACCCAGTCAGGTAACATTTCTTACACTTCCTTGGGACTGAATCTTGCATTTAGGGGGCATGTGTACTCTCTTGCAGAACAAGACAGCTGATTTTAACACATGGATAGAGAATCACCAGTTAACTTAGATCAACCTTGACTAAATTCTATTATTGACAACACCAAACCAAGGGAAAAAGTCAAGATGTTCAGGAGGGTGAAATCTAAAGTGGTTACCACCAAAACAGTATTATCTACCTGCTGTCAAAAATAGGCAACGTACCAGGACTGATGTTGATATGCAAATGTACTGTGGTATCACAGAAGATACTGGCAAACCTTGACTATTTGGAGACATGTTTATATATTCTTCTATTTTTATTCTGTAATAGTCAATAACCACATAGTTGTGAGGTTGTTATAGATATAAGGACGACTGCTAAAAAGCCCTCCCCAAAATCCAGAAGTAGAAAATGCTAGAATTCATACACAAGAGCAGAACTGTACAGAAATCTGTCACTGGGGGAACTTCTGAATTATATAGTACCTGAGATTATTTTTCTTGTTTGGTGCTACATTCTTTAGCAAGACATTATACTACTGCTTTTCTTCAAAATGGAAAGAGAAGATCAAGATAGTCTTTGACTATCCTGTTCAAGATATCTGCTATGATGTGGTTAATTTACTAAAGCACTAAATAGTGCTGGATCTTGATTAATCTTCCTTTAAATGAGGAAAAGCATAGTTATAGCACAGATATAATAGGTGCCTGACAGCTAATCTTAATCAAGAAATTTAGGATTCATAATCGCTTGTCATTCTCAAAACTCCTAAGTTATGTAGAGTTTCTTTCTAAATACGACTATAAATACACATCTATGTTACAGCCAAGAACCAATTATTATTGCTTTTATAGTCTGGACACACTTGTTTAATCTAGATAAACTCAAAGGATCTATTTATTTTATTACTTCAATGAAGGTCGGTCAGAGGCTGCTAGGCTCAGCCTGCAGACCACATTTCTGGGTTAGAAGATGGAGATGAGAAGGCCACAACCGCTCTCATTTCCAGAGCCCTGAAACCCAGTATTTGAAATGTTGGCCAGCTTCTATCACTTGAAAAAAAATTGTAGATGTATATATAGTACGTGAAGGTGCAAATTCAATGGTGAACTAATTCTGGTAAAACGGAAGCCAGAAGCAGCTGGTCCAGCTCTTACGTTGTCTCTTAAAGGAAAAGACCTCCTGACATTATGCTCAGAAAGGAGTTTAAATCACATTCAAGCCTCTGAACATTAGCTTCAGTCTTTTGTTCTACCACTGTATTCTACCATGCACTGTTCCATAAATGCCATTAGACTTCCATCATTCTTCTAAGATTTTCTCTGACCTTTTTTGCTGCTTTGTAATGTCATCCTCATTCCAAATGTCTCTAATTTTGTTTTTCAAGTGAGCAAAGGGCAGAAAGAGACTTCTGAATGTGCTCCACATTATGTTTTCTTAATGCGTCTTTTTTAATGAGGACAATGAATACACACAAAGTGACTGTACCTCAACTCAGCTACAGCCATCTGGACCAATGCAAACCAAAATTTGGACCAAAAGAGTCCAAAATAGCTTAACACATAGAATCATAGAATAGTTAGGGTTGGAAAGGACCTTAAGATCATCAAGTGACAACCCCCCTGCCATGGGAAGAGACACCTCATACTAAACTGTATAACCCAAGGCCTCGTCCAACCTGGCCTTGAACACTGGCAGGGATGGAGCATTCACAACCTCCCTGGGCAACCCATTCCAGTGCCTCACCACCCTAGCAGGAAAGAATTTCCTCCTTATATCCAATCTAAAC